GTGGGGGGGTGGTTGGTTGGGTCAGAGGGTGGTTGGTTGGACCTGGAGGGAGGTAGGTTGGACCAGGGGGTGGTTGGTTGGACCCAGAGAGGGGTAAGTTGGGCTTGAAGAGTGGTTGGTTGGATCAGAGGGTGGTTGGTTGGATCTGGAGGGGGGTAGGTTGGGCCAAGAGGGTGGTTGGTTAGACCTGGAAGGGGGTAGGTTGGGCTCAAAGGGTGGTTGGTTGGACGTGGAGAGGGGTAGGTTGGACCTGGAGAGGGGTAAGTTGGACCAGAGGGTGGTTGGTTGGACCAGAGGGTGGTTGGTTGGACCCAGAGGGGGTTAGGTTGGGCTCAAAGGGTGGGAGGTTGGACCCAGAGGGGGGTAGATTGGGCTTGAAGGGTGGTAGGTTGGACCCAGGGGGTGGTTGGTTGGACCTGGAGGGTGGGAGGTTGGACCCGGAGAGGGTTAGGTTGGGCCAGAGAGTGGTTGGTTGGACTCGAAGGGTGGTAGGTTGGGCCATGGGGTGGTTGGTTGGACCAGAGGGGGGTAGGTTGGGCTTGAAGGGTGGTTGGTTGGACCAGAGGGGTGTAGGTTGGGCCAGAGGGTGGTTGGTTGGACCCTTCCAACCCAAATACTCTATTGAATATAAGAGAAGGTTGGGCTCGAAGGGTGGTAGGTTGGGTCAGAGAGTGGTTGATTGGATCCGGAGGGGGGTAGGTTGGGTTTGAAGCGTGGTTGGTTGGACCAGAGGGTGGTTGGTTGAGCTTGAAGGGTGGTAGGTTGGGTTAGAGAGTGGTTGGACCTTGTAGGTCCCTTCCAACCCAAATACTCTATTGAATATAAGAGAAGTCCATCTCTCTGAGCTCTCTGAGCATTAGATGTATGAATTCAGCAGAACACACCATGGAAGGTGGTGTCCCACCACCAACGAGGTGTCCCCGCTGGTTGCAGGGGGTCGGACTATTTAAAAGGTCCTTTCCGACCCCAAACCCTCCCGCGGTTGTCCTGACGCTCTGCCCTTGCTGTTCCCCCCAGGAATACCTCAACAGCATCCTCCAGCACGCTAAAGATTTCAAGGAATACCATCGCTCCGTCACCGGCAAGATCCAGAAGTTGACCAAGGCGGTGGCCACCTACCACGCCAACACCGAGCGCGAGCAGAAGAAGGAGAACGAGAGGATCGAGAAGGAACGGATGCGCCGTTTGATGGTAAAGCATTTCATGTGTGTGTCCACAACGTACAGTTGTCCCACACCACCTCCATGGGTCAGAGGAGAGGACAGTGGGGTGGGTGGAGAAGTAGCTGGATGGCAGAGCTCAGAGGGTTGACATCAGTGGCTGGGTGGTCACTGCTGGTGGTCTCCAGGGGTCCATCTGGCTCTGGTCCTGCTCAATATCATCCTCAACGACCTGGGTGGAGGGGACAGAGTGTCCCCACAGCACTGTTTGCTGGTGACACCGAGCTGGGAGGGGTGGGGGACACACCATGAGGCTGGGCCACCATCCAGAGAGACCTGGACGGGCTGGAGAGTTGGGCAGAGGAACCTCATGATGTTCAACGAGTAGGGTCCTGCCCCTGGGGAGGAAGAACCCCCTGCCCCAGGACGGGTTGGGGGTGACCTGCTGGGGAGCAGCTCTGAGGAGAAGGATCTGGGGGTCCTGGGGGACAATGGGGTGACCATGAGCCACCAACGTGCCCCTGTGGCCAAGGAGGCCAACGGCATCCTGGGGGGCATCAGGGAGAGCGTGGAGAACCTCAAGGGAGGTCATCCTCCCCACACTCTGCTCTGCCCCATCTGGAGCACTGGGACCAGTTTTGGGTTCCCCAGTTCCAGGAGGACAGGGAACTGGTGGGGAGGGTCCCGGGGGGACTGGGAGGATGATGAGGGGCTGGAGGATCTCCATGATGAAGAAAGGCTGAAGGACTTGGGGCTTTTGAGTCTGGAGAAGACTGAGGGGGGGATCTTCTGGCTGGTGGGTGTCAGGAGGATGGGGCCAGGCTTTTTCCAGTGGTGCCCAGTGACAGGACAAGGGGCAATGGGGACAAACTGGGAGATGGGAAGTTCCATCTCACCATGAGGAGGAACTTCTCCATTTTGAGGGTGGCAGAGCCCTGGGAGAGGCTGCCCAGAGAGGTGGGGTGGTCTCCATCTCTGGAGACATCATGTGGAACCTGCTCTGGCTGGGAGGGTTGGAGGAGACTGGATGGGACCCTGTGGAACCTGCTCTGGCTGGGGGGAGGTTGGAGGAGACGATCTCCAGAAGGTCCCTTCCCACCCCACACCGTGCTGTGACCTCAGCAGGAGTGGGGGGGTTAACGCTCTTCCTCTCCCCAGGCTGAGGATGAGGAGGGCTACCGCAAGCTCATCGACCAGAAGAAGGACAAGCGCTTGGCCTACCTGCTGCAGCAGACGGACGAGTACGTGGCCAACCTGACGGAGCTGGTGCGGCAGCACAAGGCCGCCCAGGTGGCCAAGGAGAAGAAGAAGAAGAAGAAGAAGAAGGTGAGGGGGG